GACAGCATTAATCACACAAACTTAAACCGACTCTTCCCAACTTAGTACTGAAGAGCACAAGTATTGAAGAGCACATCAAAACCAATCAGTAGACGATATAAAAGCTTTCTGCACCATGAACATCACAAGAATTGTGGTCGCCTGAAAACGAGGATCACGACGGAATAGATGTGGTGATCCCACTCGAATATGAAAGCAGGGATACGAAGTGGATCGTAAGTGGAGAAAAAAGAAAAAGAATTGAAGAAAAACACGAACCTATCTGCTCTTCGCTGTGGAGAAGTAGCAGACAGCAATATAAGAGAAAATATGAGCGGAGAGGAAAAAGAAGTCCGAGTCGGCATAGCACATCAACAATACGACAAAGATAAAGTATCAAACTGTGGGCGGGAGTGGGTGTCTTTTGGGCGCAGGGGGATTTGAGATCGCGTCTTAATGACGTGTTTTGAAGCATGAACGTGACGCGACCACTGCAATGGTGGACCTAGCAACGGGACTTCTTCAGTAAGGCTGAGCCCGCCCCTTGGTTCCATGTTTGGCATTCTTAGTTCTCCATGTTGCAATGTTACATTAGACCCTGCAAGCAGCCTGTGTGAAAAGTTCCACAGACAACACGGGTGTAGGAATTATTCGATTTGCAGATGGCTGAACTAGTTGTGAGGACCGTAAAAGACTTGAAGCAGCCGAGAGTGGCAGTTATAGCAATGAGCTGTCCATCAGAAATTGTCGTGCGTATGGGCACTCACACTACAAAAGACCTAAGGTAACTCTTTCGCTACGTTTCCATTTACTGCCAATAACTGAAATCGTAAATAGTATTGAAATTTCTTGATTTCCAATGTCATAATTTTCAAGTACGGGATTCCTTTGAAATAAGCTGCTTCGTTTGATGTCATAGTAGAGCTGTGCTCAACTGTCCGTCCCTAATCAACAATGTTCGACCATTCGTGTGCTAAAACCTGCTTGCAGGTCAGAAAACTACATGGGCACATTCTAATCAGTTAGATGTGGTTATCGCAATTAATAATGAAAATGTACAAGTTGTGCTTCCCTGTGGGAGCAAACAAAGATAAAGAGAACTATAATAGAAAAGAATGAAGATTACGAGTTCCCTTGCTTGGGCAATTCGTTCATCAAAAGAGACATAGAAAGCCCAAGAAGAGAATAGACGAGAAAGGCGAGGGGAAATAATGAGACAGACGATCGTCAGCACAGACGCCATCTGGTCTACTGCCTAGCTAGGACATGAGCGTTTACACGAGGTTCTGGTGCCTTAGCGCTCAGGAAGAAAACGTACACACATAGATCTTCCAAAATGAGCAAGAAGTCCTTGAACGACCCCACACCTCTAACAGTTCATGTCTGTTTACACTATCTACTCGGATTCCGTGATCTTTCCGGTTTTGAAGCATGACACACAGCTATTATACTCAACTTTGGCATTTTTGAGTCAAGCCATTTTTTTCAGAATGAGATTGATAGCATATCACGCCATTGGGGAAAAGATCGCTACATCTCAAGCATACAGTCTCGCGAGAAAGCTTCTAAATGTAAGACCATGCATAACTAGGATTATTACCCTAATTTCCGCTGGATAAGCTCGCAACACTCACGTAAAAACACCTTAGCTCGTGCAGCATAATTTCTCTGAACTAAAACTACTGCAAATTTACCTATAGAGGCAATCCGATGCGGTGATTACAAAACGACTTTCCTTTTTAGCGGTGGCGCCATCTGGCGCCAGTTGGCGCCACCTTGTCACGACCTTGTTTTCACCAAATTTGGTGTAAACTTCGTATAGGGGTTATTTGGTGTCATGATAACGAATATGACATTTGCTCTCGCTATTTGGCGCTTGCGCGTTGCGGTAAAAAACAATGATGCTAAGAACGAATGTCATATTCGTAATCAGGGCAGCAAATAACCCCTATACAGAAGTTTACACCGATTTTGGTGAAAACAAGGGTCGTGACAAGGTGCGCCAACTGGCGCCAGATGGCGCCACCGCTAAAATGAATGTCGTTTTCGTGATCAGCATATCGAATTACCTCATATCGAATTACCCCTATGGGCATGTTACGGTTGACTCTAGATGTACTCAAGTACACTGCACCAGTGGAGGTGTTTTTACGTGATATTGGCGCGGGCTTATCTACCGGAAATAAGAATAGATCGAAATATCTTCTGATATAGAAAAATGCTGTAGTATGAAAAAACCATTGTAACTATGAAACGCAGTCCAATTTTGGATGAGCTTTCACGACTTGAATGAGTCAAAGGACATCATATTCAGGCAGAGACAACTAAGGATAAAAGTGTTGTCGTATTCTCGAATGGTCGAAGTTCAACTTGTGGCAAACCTGAAGCAGGGCAGGAAGATGAGCCCAACATTGTACAGACGGTAGTTTCGGCAGAGGATTTGATAGTTTTTGTTCAGTTGGATTATTACAGCAGTTCGTCCCGTTTCTGCTTGCCACCAATCTTCATTTTTGATAGACCTAAAGGCAGCACATCCTATGAAAAAGTAGCCCGCTAGAAACTGAGGTAGACGTGGAGCAGTTGTGGAAGATATGAAGAAAAACCATGAGTAACGGCCCACGACCCGGGAAATGCATGGATAGATGGATACGTGATTTCTGTATTAATGCGGCTCTTTTTGGTGCTGCGCTAAACAACGCTAATGCCCTCTCTTAGGCGGCTCGAGCCAGACGGCGGGGGTGTGGGCGGGCAGCGGCAATAGCAGGGCGGAGACGGCCATGCTACTCGTCGAGAGCATGTCCTTTGCTGCGATGCGCATCGGGTGGGCCGCCTGCCTTTCGGCTTGCTATATTTTCCCTACTCCGACCCCTGACCTTACATAGAATCCCCCCTCAGCTATTCATCCAGCCATTTGATGTCGAAGCTGGAGGTGACCAGAATCATTTTCGCAGCTATCTACATCTTACACTTCACTGCAATCAGAAACTGCTTGAGATATTTCTGCCGTTTACGAAGAGCTTAATAATATAATGCATGAAGCGGGACAAACCGATGTTACAGTTCAATGGTTTCTATGAAACGCACTCCTTACAGTGAGGTCTCATAAGCATATTGCAGTGGGACAGAACTGGCGTGAATCGTGTTTACGTTGCCACCGGAGAACCCGTGAATAAGACACATATGCAGGAAATTACGGGCGATCCCAAAAAAGTTGTGGATGTGAAAAATGTCACGGTTGGTTACCATGTTTGTTGCACTTGAACAACTTGAAATTCAAGCTGATGATATTCAGATGAAGCCGGATTCCGGCGAGTTCAAAAAAATCAAGGACAGGCTAGTTAAGCTGCTCGAAGGAATATCAGTGACCACAACCACGGCTCCGAATGCTGCAGAGGAAAAACATACGACGCCAGTGGCACCAAGGGTAAGCACACCTTCCCGAGTGAAAACACCCCGTTCTGGAAGGCGTAAATTCGCAACAAAGAGTACCCTCGATTCTGAGACAGCAGCAGCATTCACAGCAATAGTATTGGACTATTATACTCCATTATTTTGAAATTTATTGGAGAAAATAGTTTCCGATGATGGTTCTCTTCTTCTTCCCTCGATTTGTGCGCAAAAGAGTCATGAACATCACCCTTTTTGGCCTTGATTGTGCTCAAAGCTTCTGTTAGAGAATCAGTTGATCACTCGTTTTTATTGATCGTCAGGAGAATGAAGAACCAGAATAAAGCTACAATTATTGAGAGACCACAACAAATATCTCAAAGAATACTGACGCAATAGCAGTCGGCCACCACAACTTATCAGAGACAGAAAATGTTTGAGTCTTTTAGGTAACTCCTGCTACAAAGTCAATCGTCTTCCTATTGGATGCTTCTTCTGCTGCTTCAGGAGAAGGATGGAACAATGTTCGTAGTTTGAAGTTTTTTCTTTACTTTTAGAATAGGTCAGCCCCCTCAGGTAACATAAAAAAGGGTGAAAATTCGGTGACTAGCAAGACTTTTTTGGGCAGGCCATGCATCCAACTTCTTGTTCGGAAAGTAGCGGGTTCGGCTGCCTGGGGTAGAATTTGATTCTATATCATTTCCGGGATCGGCAGTGCTAATCTACTATCTCCACGGTAGTGTAATTGCAACTGTCGACGATATAATAGTCCGCTAAAGGCTAAACTCAATCTAGATTTCTTCGCCATTGAGACATCTCTGATCGGCAGACATCTGAAAAGGGAGTGCTTCAAGCAATAAACCCAGACGACGTCGTTTCGAGGAATCCATACACCGCGGTGCACAATAGATTGCACCCCATAGAAAACCTAATTTTCTTGAGAGCCGGAAACTTTTGTTGCTTCTGCCTATACTATAGTTTAGAAATAGACGAAGGAATAATATCTGTGATACTTATTTGACATTACGACTTTTTTAAAGTTTGTGACAACAATTTTTCACTTTTTGAGGCGGTGCATAATAGATTGGACGATATGTATTGTGGTTCATAAAACAAGACCTAAAGTCTGCTCCTCCCACCTAAGTATGAGGGCAGCGTTCCTTCTTCTCAGTGAGCTTGGGACTGAAATCAGATTTTGAATCAGCGCATTCTATGCAGCAGAGGCGGTAGAGTTTTCCACTCCTTTGTAATGGTATTTCTTAGCGGCTGAACATTGTCATACGCTTTCCCATCTTACGCGTCAGTATACCCTATGTATTCCCGATAGGGTTTGTATCAGAATTACATACCGGCGATGAAAATAATGGGTTGTTGTTAGATTGAAAGTGGGACAGAGTGCTTCACGGAGTGTGGTTTGAAGCGTTCTTTTGCACGAAGATGAAGTGTTTGTTGAAGTCTCAAGAAACGAATGGTACCAACGTGTTGTTGAGAAGTGACTGATAGTTATGGCTTCTCATTCACAAGAATCAAAATGAATCTCAAGGCTACCATCACTAGAGGATGCCCAGCAAACCATTTAGGAGAAGGCACCGGCGTGCTTCGAGGCACCAGTAGTGGTTCACTTCTGCAAGAGCGCCAGTTCGAGTGCCGTTAGCACGACTCATCTCCGCCGACCAAAATGTCATCGAAAGAAATTACCGTAGGGAAAATAGAAATGAGAAATTTAAATTTAGTATAAAGCTGGAAGTGTGCCCAGAACACTCCGCTGCCCAATTTCTGTTATTCTCAATCCTCGCAAGAGGGAGCCGCTTATGTCGACGATATTGAGTCAGGCGTAGTGTCGGCTTTATTTTTTGTCGAACTATGTGGTCCGATATTTTCAACATACGAGACACGGTCCATTTCAAAACGACAATCCCGCAAGCGACAACCGATTCATAGGCAACCTTTGTGGAACTCAATGCCAAATTAATCAAGCAGCGCCTGCCGCGCTCAGGAACAACTGACTTCTGTACCACCTTGTTCTTAAGAACAGTTTGAGAATGATTCTTGATCACAGTTGCAACTGTACTCCTGGGAATGAAGGGTTCCTTAGAGATTTGGAGATCACCCTTGTCAAGAAGAAGTTACGCTTCACTTCGAATCCAGTCTTCGTTTGTGAAACGCGTATACTTCACATAATACGTGAGTACATGCAAACTTAAAAAGCAGGCAAAAAAAAGTCGGAAAAATGGAATATCTCAAATCGTCCAATCTATTGTGCACCGCCAAAAAAATCAATATTTCACTCTAAAATTTTTCAAAGACAGTGTGTCTAACTGAATATTGTGTCAACATTATTTATCTACTTCCCCAGGAAATATATCAACAGCAGAATCAATAAAAGTTTCGGCCCTCTCAAAAAACTAAGTTTTTTATAGGGTGCAATCTATTGTGCACCGGTGTATGAACTGACTAGTAAAGCCACGAGTATCACATGTGTCTTTCGCAACTCGAAAGTGCGCGACAGTGACGCTAGGGCCTTACACAGTAATCTGATGGCAACTTATGTGAACTCACAGACGAGATACCTCACGTACAGCCTA